AGAAAAATGGGAATTGCGAAAAGATCTCAATTTCGCGAAATTTTCCCATGGAAGAGAAAACCCCGCAGCTCGGCCACGGCCATGGACTGATGACGTCATCGCTCGCAAATTTTATTTTTGGGATTTTCTCCGTTTTCCTTCGTTTTTCATCATTTTTGCTCAAATTTTCGTGGTAATTGGTCGAAAAAAATTAATTTTATAATTTTTGTAATGTTTCATTACCTGTTCGAACAATTTTCGATAGAAAATAGCTCACTTTGGGCGAATTTTTGGGATTTTCGAATTTTGTGGGAAATAGCTAAATTGTGATTGTTTCCTTCAATCAATGATATAGAAAATTCTTTAAAAAGGATAAAAATTTAAATTACCGCGAAAATTGAGGAAAATTGAGAAAAATCGGAAAATTGAGAAAAATTGGGAAAAAGACGAAGGAATATTGAGAAACAAAGGGAATTGAAATAGAATTGAAAAAAACAAGGAATTGAGAAAAATTGGCACTGAGGAAAGTATCGGCTGGGTTTTGAACTTAAATTAAACATTTAAAAACTGAGTTTGTAAAATTTGTCAAGTTTAGCTTATTGTCAAAAAGAACAATGTGACAATGAGAAGTGAAAAATTTCTGTAGTTCGAAATTCTCAGATACCGAAATACGAAGTTCCAAAGTTCTGAAATTCTGAGATTCTGAAGTTCTGAAATTCTTTGATTTCAAAGTTCTGAAATTCCGAGATTCTTAAATTTGGAAATTCTCAGATTCCGAAGTTCCGAAATTCTCAGATTCCGAATTCTGGAATTCTAAGAATTCTGAAGACAATGAAGAAAATTTCTGCCGTATTTATTGAAAATTCAGAAATATTGAGATTCTGAAGTTCTGAAATTTTGAAGTTCCGAAGTTCTGAGATTCTGACATTTAGAAGTTCTGAAATTCGGAAATCCTCAGATTCTCAGATTCTGAAGTTCCAAAATTTTCAGATTCTCAGACTCTGAAGTTCCGAAATTCTCAGATTCCGAATTCTCAGATTTTCAAGTTCTGAAATTCAGGAATTCAGAAACTTCGTCAAAAAAAATTGTACCCCCGAATCACAAACGTTGTACCCCTACATGAAATAAGTTGTACCCCAGAATCATTGGTAGGTTGTACCCCTGAATCGTTGTACCCCCGAATTTTTGTACCCACGAATTTTGTACCCCCGAATCACCAACTTTGTACCCCTAAATCAGTTGTACCCCCTTGTACCCCCGAATCATTGTACCCCCGAATTTTTTGCTGATTTTTCTTTTGTTTTTTGCAAAAAAAAGTCAGGCAATTGAAGTTTTTCTAACAAAAAATTGACGAGAAAAAACTCAGAAAATAAAAACATTTAGGTTACTGTAGTTGTCGTAGGGGGGTTACTGTAGTTGTCGTACCTTCCTCCACGGCCACCGGATTTTCTCCTCCACATCACGTTTTGTATTCCAGCATAATAGTTGCGGTTAAACGCTGTATTGGTTTCCATGTACACTCATGGATGCACATGGATGCATTGAAGTGTAAACAATGAAGTCAAAAGATTAAAACTTTATCAAAATATTTTTTGCAAAACAGCTATTCAAACACTCAAATTGGCATTCTGAAGCATCCCAAGTGGAAACTGAGAGCTCTCAAATGAATCAATTCAACTTCGAAATCCATGCATCCTGATAGAATCTTGGCTTTCTTGTCTGAGATCCTGAGATTCTCAGATTCTGAACTTCCGAAATTCTAAAAATTCAGAGATTTTCAAGCTCTGAAATTTAGGAATTCAGAAACTTCGTCAAAAAAATTGTACCCCCGAATCACAAACGTTGTACCCCTAAATGAAATAAGTTGTACTCCAGAATCATTGGTAGATTGTACCCCCGAATCGTTGTACCCCCGAATTTTTGTACCCACGAATCACCAATTTTGTACCCCTAAATCAGTTGTACCCCCTTGTACCCCCAAATCATTGTACCTCCCGAATTTTTGGCCAGAAAAATCAGCGGCAAACGGGATAATATATCCTGAAAGTAAAAATATTTTAGGCTACTGTAGTTTTCGTTGTGGGACCTTCGGCCAACGCCACAAGCTTTCCTCTTCCACAGCTTCGATTTTTTTTCATATGTACAAGAATAATACTAAGCTTGAGAATCACATCGCCTTGTATGCAACATTTTGAGGTGCACCTGTTTGCCGCACACCAACTATCACAAACATACAAAAGACGCAACCATGGTTACCAGCCTCACTCTTAAACGAAAGAACACACATTTAAGGTGGAGACACAGACACATTTTCTGTGTGTCTCAACCCCGTTTTTTGGGACACCGATAACAGTCCCTATTCTTATTCATTCAATATGCGCCTTCTATTAGGTGTGTTTCTTGGAGTTTGTTTATTATTAATCGTATATAAAACGGCACAAAAATCCAAAGTTCCGAGCTTCACTGCTAAATTCATATCTGAATATTTCCAAAACAACTCGTCCGGAATACCTCTGAGTGTGTTCCAACGAGTTCAATCTTTATTCCAAACCCCATACAAAAGTGAGTTTTTTTTTCTTTTCCAATTGATCTCAACAGTTGCAATTTTAAGGTTCAACTATTGTGATAAAACCTGAAAATTTGACCATTAAATCTGTGGAAACAAGTGCGAATGGAACAGTTATAATAGGTGAGTCAAATCGATAACTCCAGAATGTTTTTTTTTATTTCAGAAAAGCTGAAACAATCTCTTCTAGATGTTTGCTCGTGCGAAGACGGAAATTGCTCTTGTTGTTTAGTTATTGATATTCCGGATTTCAGTCATTCAGGTTCTTATACATGTTTTTATTTTTATATTGTTTAACATTTTCAGTCTGTGTAAATGCTACATATAACCCAAGAACCATCGGATTAGTTTTATCAATTGGAGTAGATGATCATTATTTCAGTCAGGAGATTTCTCGTAAGATTTAAAGCCTAATTTTCATATTGCTTTGAATCCCAAAACAACATTTTTTCAGTCAAAAACCCGCCCCCAGTCTGTTTCTCGGTCCCAGTTCCTGGATTGGAACCAACCATTTGTGTGGCTTTTACAAAAGTATGCTGCAATAATGTTTTTTTTTCAAATATTTTAATTTTCAGATGGATGTGGACCCTAAAGCTGAAATTCTCTCCGGATGTCTTGATTTGGAAATTGAACTGTTACATTTGAGATTGATCGAAATCGATTTGGGATGTTTCCATATGCCTATTTGACATTCCTATCAACTTCAATTTTCCTTGCTCCCGGGTGATGTCAGAATCTCTGGAATTTTTCTGCCTAATCTGATTCTCTTGTGGTTTTTTCTTCGTTTTTCTTTCTGTTAAAATTTATTAACTTGTTTTCAATTCCAAACCCCTCCCCGTTTGTCAGTCTGTTCATTCTATGAGTCTCGTTGTTCAAAAAAAGTTTAATTTTTTCTTTTCCTGAAATGTCAAAAGTATACAATCCGTAGGGAGAAAAGAACTGAATCCTCGGAAAACTTCTGGACGCCTACACAGAATCAGCAGATTCTCTTCGTGATATTTCTCACGTAGACGTGATCTTTGTGAATCCAGCTAACTTGAATCCCCAAGTGATATGTTCTGCGTTAATGGGATAAGACCAGTTTTCAATCGAAATTTGAAGTTTGTAGGAAAATCTTATTTGAAAAAATCTTATCTTCTGCGAATAGAATATGAAAATCTCGAGATAAATTTTAATTGAATTTAAAGGTGGTGTACGGTGTATTTTTCAATCGCTTTCTGTGCATAAAAACATGTAGATTCACATTAAAAAAAAAGAAAAATTCGAAAAAATCCCTCTGAAAAGTGCTTGATTTTTCTGTTCCCCCTCATAATTTTTAGACCTTTTCCGGTTTTTAAGCAATTGTTAAAGTTTTTCTTTCAAAACTACAAAGAAATTAGCTTCTGTAATCTACAGTAATCTTCAAGAATATCTTCTCGACAATTTTCAGACAAAGAACCCGGAAAATGGTAAAAGAATCTCCAAAAATAGCCGAAAAACCTAAAAAAGGTCTGAAAAATTGAGTAAAAAACCTATTTTTACTCTTGTTTTTAGTGTCTACAGTTTGAGTTTTCTAGTCTCCCGCGGACGCGGAAAATTCCGTATTTGAATTTTTCTTGATTTTCAATATTTTTTTCTGGTTTTTCGAGATTTATTTTTCTTCCAGAATATCTCGAAAAATCTGGAAAAAAAACTCAAGCTCGTCCCTAAGGGGCAACAGAAAACTTTGAAAAACAACGATTATTTACAGTTTCCAAATCTCCATAGCGTTTCGAATTCCCCAAATTCTCACCGAAACCAATATAAATTGCAGCAATTCCTTTCCCCCAGCTTTTCGTTTATCATTTGTCTTTCTCTTTTTAGATTTTCGTGTGACTTCTTACTGCTTGCTGCCAATCAAAATCTAATTTCCCTCCCTTTGACTTTCTTCTCTTTTTTGTTTGTCTTTCTGTCACCACTAAATCCACTAGGCTTCAAGTTGTCAAGGTAACCACCCAAAAACGGGCGTCCCGTTTTTGGCGCGTATGTGAAAATGATAACTTTTCTTGTTCTCTCCCTCGCCTCGTTTTTCAGAACTAAACAAGAAAAGAAGAAGAGAAGAAGACAAAGAGAGAGAGACAGAGAGAGAATTGTGAGGGTGTTTTTGAGATGTTGCTTTGATTAGAGACAATTGATAAATGAGAGAGTGTATGAGGAACTAATCAACGGCCGTACTTTGTAGAATCACTCATCCGGATTCATTTGAACCACTATTCTGAACTATTATGTTATTTTTTACATCTTTACACTATCTTAATTTTTAAAGTTTATTTTCAAAACATCTGCCTAATTTTTTTATTTTCATATGTCGGCTATCGGGCTGAAACATGTGACAAAAAACGCAGTGTTTTTTCTGGAACGTCTTATAAATGTACTTAAAATTGGGTATTTGTGCTAACTCCTATAATAAGTCGTTCGAAAAGAAACACGCAACAATATAATTATGTCGGATTGAAGGGTTAAGAAAGCCGCTAGAAAAGTTCAGAATGATTTTGGGAAGTTTATCAGGACTGGTTTTTGGAAATCGGAAAGGTTTCTAGCAAAGGAAAAATTTTCCAGCAGTTTACACAATCATCTTTTTCCCTTTTCCTTCTAAAAACTCATGACAGATTCAGCTTTGATATAATATATCGTTAAGTTAACAAAAAAGAAATATGATTATAAACATACCACTGAAAACACTCTAATAGAACACCACCGTCCCTTAACTTTCAAATTTGAGTCAACTTTTCTCTATTCCTGTGAAAGATATCAAAAAGTGGACAACTGATAAATTGTTCATCTCAACATTACAAACATTTTATCAGTTGACACACTTTTGATATCTCTTAATGAAGCCGAGATAATTGAGCTCAAAAATGACAGTGTAGGGTAGTTAATCCATGGGTAGTGAGGTAGTTAACTTTTTGTATAAATGTGGGCGCAGTAAATTTTAGGTGAACTTTCATTCATTATACCGACTTTCGCTACATATAGATGGTCTTATGAACTCAAAATGGGTTTCTTTAGCTTCCAATCCCTCGTATTTCATGTAATCTTATTTGGTGGTGTGTCATAGACCTCCTACATTTCACAAAAGTTGAAAACTAAGGATTCTTGTTTTAATCCACTGTGAGGTATCCTGTTTTTACATAGGGTAAGAGTGCACTTGTTTGTGTCTACTCCAAATATGAGTCATCTAATACCCAAGTATGATTCTCAGGACACTGTTGGTTCCTGATTGTGAAGCCAGGAGTTCATTTTTCATTATTGTCCTCGTCTTCCAAATTTTGCATGTTCCCGAACTATTTTCAGTTTTTTTTCGTCATTATTCTCCTCTAACTGATTTTTTTCAGTTTCGACTGTTCATGGAAAATGGGCAAAAAGACAAAGAAGAGGTCCCATCGTCGACGTTCTCAGTAGGTGTTTCTCTCTTTCTCATATATTGTTTTGTATTAATCACCATTTGTATAGTAGTGTTAGCACGTGACATCCTCCTGAAGCCATAGAATCCGTCAGTCGGGATAGCTCTCGAGAATTCCCAAATCCTCGGCTTCGTCACACACATTCTTCTTTCTTCTTTTCCACTAATTTTCAACACAAACACGTCCTCTTACACTAAACTACGAATCTTTCCCTTTCAAAACTTTTACTGGTTTCGCTGATAAAATGTATCAGGATTCGCAGGTTTGCTTTTCTTCCCTATTCGCGTAAAACCTGTAATATAAGAGCCTTCCCACTGTTCAGTTTGAGCTAAATACTCTTGCGTTCTGTTCAGGATATCAAAATGGGTCAACTGATAAAATTTTCATGACATTATGATAAACAATTTATCAGTCGACAACTTTTATATATCTTTGGCAAGAACCGAGATAAATCTGCTCAAAGTTAAAAGTTCCGGGAACATTCTATTACAGGTTGGACGGTAGTAGAATTGGAATTTAAAAAAACCGTTCAATATCTTCAGGTGCTCCCTGCACAACCTCCAAACGGAATGAGGAGGACATTTGAAAATTCGGGTATAACCTTCGGTTCATATACAGCAAAAACTGTTACTGTCTACAAAGAGGGTGACCTACATTTTGCGGTTCGTTTTTTATAATTTTAAACTTCCTTGACACCATCGAGCATATTAAGAACTCAAAAAAATTTACAATCTTATATCTTAAGGGTGTCCGTGTTCCTGTATCCAAACAACGTTACACAACCATAGCTAATTTGATGGATGATCTCAATCGGATAATATATTTGCCGTATGGGGTATGTTTCGATTTTATGCTTTTCAAGTTTTGGTTTCTTTTCTTTTCTTCCCTTCCCTTTTATTTAGGTTTTTCAAAAATTATAAATGAAATCTTTCGACATTTTTAATCAGTCGGTTTACGCCATCTGTCGGAGTCTCGACCTTCGAATCTGCATTTGAATTTCTAACTTCAGCATTTCCCACTTTCCGAGTCCCCAGAATTTCTGAATGTATGAATTTCCAAATATTCGAATTTCCCATTAAATTTTGATCCCTGGATTACTGAACTTTTGAAATTCTGTTATCCGGAATAGTTGAATTCCCGAAATTCTGAAGTTCCATATTTTCGAATGACCGAATATCAGAATTACTGAATTTTTTAAATCCCTGGTTCACCAAATCCCAATTGAACTTTTACTTATGTTCTGGTTTTCTTTGTTTTCCTTTAAAAAATGTTCCAAATCACTGATGTTGATCTATTTTTAAGCCAGAAAAGGCATCCTCAAATTACGTCAAAAGTCAGCAGAAAAAAAATAATTTCCGGTACTTTGAAAACTTTCTGATCATTCGATTCTTTTTTCGCTTGCTTTAGCCATTATAAATCAGCCAATCTAGGTATCCATGAGAACGAGAATAAACTGGAAAACCAAATGAGAAAAAACGGAGCGTTTGCGTGGGAAAAGAGTGGAGAGTGTTGATTGGCTTTGCTGGCTGGAAATGAGAATAATGGAAGGAGTAAAGAGTGTACTGGGAAAGAGAACAAAATAATAAGTAATCTATTTTCTGACTCAAGAATTGGGCGAGAGAGAGAGAGAGAGAGAGAGAGAGAGAGAGAGAGAGAGAGAGAGAGAGAGAGAGAGAGAGAGAGAGAGAGACTAGCACAACTATTTGCTATGCTTGTTTTCGTATACACGTTTCAGTTGTGATAAGTTTATAGAAGAAGCCCTAGATTCAATATATTCTGACATTTGGAACAATTATCTCGGTGATGAAACAAAAATGTTTAGGAAGTGAGATCTAGAATACACTTGAGGATAGGAAAATAAATCCCAAACTTTGTGGGTTTTCCCAAACTAATAAATCCCAAACTTTGTGGGTAGCTGGTTTTTGATATTTACTAAATCCTGAATAAACTACGAAAACTACAAAATTGAAACGGAAATTGCAGGAGGTATTTTGACGCCTGCGTTTCTGGAAACTTCTGAATGTTTTTCCATTCTTTCAAAACGCTCTGATTAATGCAGTCCTACCCAACTTTTCATTTTTTGATTGCATATTTGATTCCTATTGCAAGTTGGTCCACAAAGAATCTTTGTTGTCTAAACTCTGAAGAGAATTGCATCTCGCAAGTAGTTTCTATTTTTTAAGCTACCAAAACAGTTGACGGTTTGATTAGTATATCTTCAGACATAAGTATTCTAGAAGCAAGAAAATTGGTAGAAATATAATTTCACTTCTGATTCAAAGCAACTGAAATGTATTTTCAAAGCAACTGCTATTTTAACCTTCGGTCTGGGTAATCATATTCCACCCTGTAGATCCAGATAGAAGCACTGAATTGGGGTCACTAGAAGCAAAAAGTGATATGGGGGTGAAAAGAATTTTATAACTTAATCTCAATTTTCGAGTAACTTAATTTTCAGGTTCGTAACATCTCGACCTCGATGGGAGGGACCGTTATTAATAGTTTAGATCAATTGGAACATTTGGGACAGTTAGTTTTTTCTTCTTTGGTTATTCGTACGAAGCCATACATTTCAGATATATTGCATCGTCATCAAACCCACCAAAGAAGGTCGATTTAGATAAAATAAAGGAGAAATTTTCGGCTACACAACGACGAGAACCACTAAGACTGACGGCTGGTGGAGATTCGGTTTATGTGAGTTCCAATTTTAAGAATTTCAATCAATCTATTATCGGAGACTCACTTATAGATTAGTTCCATTCCCAACTTTTGAATAGAAGCAAATGGCTGAGGATAAAAGACTACCTTTGAGATTATATCCGCAGTCTTTAGAAAAGCTGAAGACGTTGAGAACAAATTGAATAGGAGAAGAATTTGTATTGTTCGAGACGAGATTTGTCCGGACAAATCCATGTTATTCGTATGGATAGAATCGCCTCAGATTACCCACTCTTCTTCTCAATTTTCGTATATTTCTTATCGATTAGCATGCGTTTTTTCTAGCATTTCCCCAAAAATTATGACCACTTTTTATTGTGGATTCGGCTAATTGTTCTTCAGCTTTCTAATTCATAATTACAAACTCTAGATAGAACTCATTGGAGTCAGTGCCTCTTCGACTGTCATTCAGTCGTTTTTAACCAGCCGAGAATCGGATTCTATTTATTCAAAAATGCTTCTACTGAGCCTAACCCCCTCTATGATTTTCAAGAGGGAATAATTTTTTCAACCAAATTTTTAATTCTGTCAAAATTTGGTCCGTCAAACACCGGCCATTGACCAGCCAGCACCTCTTCGACTGTCATTTAATAGGAGAAGAAAATTTTTTGAGGTAGTATGGTGTGATGAAAATTAGCTTCTATCATTATTTAATAATTTGGTGGGAGCATAAAATAATGTTCTCTGGCTGATCTCTAATCAAAACTTTCGAGTACGTTTTCCAATAGGTTCCAATAGTGCGTCAACGGCTCGTCGACGGCCCGTTTTGGCAGTTTTTTTAGTTTGTGAACTAATTCAATTGTGGGTCTCACTAGGAATCAGTAGAACGTCCCAAATCAAAAAATTTCCCCTCTTTGCACGTTGATAACTTCTCAGATGTCTTCTTCTACACCGAATGCTCTTCCTCGTACAAAATTCACTTATAAAATTGACGATACCCCTTCAGCCGTACAGGTTTGTTGTTTTTTTTTCTAATTTTCAGTTTGGAAAAGATCTTCATTAATGTCTTCATCATCCAACGGATCGCGTTTCAAACGCGAATGCCGCAAGTCTATGCCGTCGTTAAGGGATATCGAATTAATGCATATAACACCTAAAGTCCACAAGGTTTTGAAATTGATAGGGACATTATGATTTTGTAGCATGAATATATGAACAAAAATCAAAAATGGAGAAGGGGTGTGAAAAAGAATGTACTCTCATTTTTGGTTTGAGCACCTTCCCATTCATTTTTATGACTTTTTTCTCTTTTTTCTTGCCTTTTTTCAAAATCAAGTCCTAAGAAGAAACCAACATGACCGAGCATAAGGTAATATGTACATACATTTATGTTGTAGTTTACTAAAAACATAAATACCGTAAGCACTCTGTGTATTAGAAGCGCGCCCATATTTCCACTTTGAGCTTAATTATCTCAATTTCTATAAGAGATATCAAAACTGAGTCTACTGATCAAATGTTGCTGATATTATGATAATCATTTTCTCAGTTTACCACTTTTTGATATCTTTCACAGGAAATGAAATACATAGGCTCAAAGTGAAAGTATCGGATGCCCTTCTATTACTGTATTGGTAACAAAATAGATTATTGGTAACAAAATAGATCCTATTCCCATCCTTTTCCAAAGAATATGCTTTTCAGCTATTTTTCGTTCTTAATGGCAAAGGAAAATTCTACCGAACCACTATAAGTCAAACGAAGGTTCCTACAATGCACATGTTGCTCGAAGAGTTATCCACGAGTTTGGAGGTTAGTTAAAAAGAAATCATACAATTTTAATGTGTATCAAAACTTCAAGATTGCAATCCATCGTCTCTATGCACCCGGAGGAAAGTTGATAACATCCGTCGAGGAGATCCTTCTTTTGGGAGCACCAAGGGTGAGAAATATATTATGTATAGTCTAATCTCATATTTTCTTCTTTTTAGATAATCGCATGTCCTCGTCATGAGAGACCGATTTTCAACGATGCATCCAAAGAATTGGAAGAGAAAATACGTCAGATGCATCCATCTAAATATGCACCACGACAAATTTATATGAGAACTGAAACAAAATCTTCCGGAGGATCCGTAGCCGCTGTCACTTCCGCTAGCTCTTCTGACAATAGCATTGAGAAAAGGTTCCCCAACCTGACAAACAAGAATTTTTATATTCAAAAACATTTTCAGAAAACCAGCTCCAAGCCAAAACAATCGTCTACTTATCAGAAAGTATCCAGTCGAAAATGGAGTATCCAATGCTAAAAATTCCACAATTACTACTAGTTATGTACCCAAATCATATGCAACGAAAGCTAGGAAAATAGCTCCAACAGTCTCGGCTGCAAATGCAATTAGTAGGAAATCTCAATCGAAAGAAATCAGCAGGAATTCGAAGAATGAAGATGAATCAGCAGTATCAAGTGCAACAAGCACTGGTCCTATAGATTCTGGGACTGGAACTTCAATTAATAGTCAGCAATCAGATAGACCAGCAAGCATGACTGAGAAGTAAGATTGTTTCAAAGTTTGATATTGAAATAAGTGTATGTTTTTTTTAGAAAAGCTCAAATGATTCGAGACGAACTTCGAGCCAATCTAAGCAATCAAAATCGCCAAAGTAGTTCTGAGAATTATTCCGAGGAAGATATGATTCAGGAAGAAGAAAGTGATTATGAGCACATTGGAAGGGGAATACAGAGTGGAACTAGCGAGGAAGAAATTGATAGTCGTGTTGGAACACAAGACAATGCATCGAGAAGATCAGGTTCTCATCAGAGCACTGTTCGTCAAACTCCATCTACGCCAGGATCAGAGAAACCATCGAACCATTCTAGAACAGCTTCTATTCAGAGAACAAGGACAGTTAGTCGAGAAAACACCCCATATCAAGAAGTTTGTAACTTTCACTTTGTTATCTCCATCGCTCTCCTTATTTGTAATTTTAGACTCCTTCCCGTCAAAGTACAGCAGCTTCTCGTCCAGTTTCTTCTCAATCCCTCAAATCGAAATCAGCAAGTTTATCGCGTGAAACGTCTGCATCAACGGCAATTCAAGAAGCATCAGATGAGGGGTTGGAAGATGTGAAAGAAGAGAACATTAGTGAAGAAAAAGATGATGTATCTATACGGTCTCCTGCAGCCGAAACTCCCGATACTCGTTTACCAACCGCCGAATCTAGACCATCCACTGCTGGTTCTCAGAAAAGTTTTGCAAGTGACAGTTCCAAGGCATTCAGCAGAATGTCAAACTACAGTGATATGGTGAGTCTCACGAATTATAGGACATTGAAAATTTCATCGATGTTTTAGGAAGTGATTCTTCCTTCTGACGATGAACTGGATGTATATCGGGGTGCTGACACACCTGAAAGAGAACGAATTGACAGAGCAGCAACTAAAGTGACGCGTTTCATGAGAAGATATGCAGCTGAGAAGAAAAAAGTGAAATTTGAAGCTGAACTGCAGGAATACTCAATTGAGATCTTACTCGGTGAACGATATGGTCTTGATTTTGACACTCGGTTGTTTATAATACTGCATGGAGAAGAGGAGTCTAGTGAGAAGCTCTACATAGCTAAGGTGTCAAGATTAGATAGGATTAGACTCACTAAATGAATCATTTTAGACTGACTGGTTATTATCTCCAATGAATACATATGAATCGTCACAGTGGATACTTCAAACAATGAAGGTTAAGAAGTTGGGAATATTGAAAAGCATTGTATTGGGTCACGAGCAGGAAGGATATGGTGCCGGAACTTTTATTGATCGAGTAGTGATAACGGAAACTGATACGGACCGTTGCTTCCAATTCCAAATTTCAAAGTGGTTTGATAGCGGTCAGGTGGATGGATTGATTGAAAGAGACATCGGGTTGTCAGGTTACATGTATTGGGATACCCCAGACCATAAACAATACAAACTAACACGTGAGTCATCAGTTCTTTTGGTATAGGTCAGAGAATTCTGGAAACTGGATTAAGTATTCCGTGTTCCGGATTTCGTTTTTTTTTCTGGGTTCCGGATTCCAAAAAATCAATTTCATTCTGAATTCCGGATTTCGTTTCTCGAAACATTCGTTCCGGTCATCTCTGGCGCAGCCTTTGCTAGAAAATATCAAGAAGATTCGTGGTTTTGAATTAAAATGATTTCAGAAGGACGATGGGAAATTCGTTTGCATTCTGTATTGTCTGCCATCGGAGGAACTACTTCAAATGTGATCATCACTGCATTTGGTAATTTTATTGTTGTTCAATTTTCCATTTTCCAATTTAATCTGTTCAGGTGAACATGATTCGAGCTCTCACAAAATTGTCAACAAGAACTTACTCAACAACCCTGCTGAACTTCGATATATTCAACTTGACTTTGGTACAACGATTGGAGAAATACGAAAACTTCGTGTAGAGCTTGAGGAAGCTGGAGACAAACCTTTCTACTATTTGGATCGTGTCGAAGCACTCGATCTGGATAGTAAGCAATGTTGTGTTATCATGTAATAGCGTTGCAGATGAATAAGAAAATGTTGAGAATTACTATTTCAGGGTCAACGGATGGCTTCATACTAAACAGACACCAGGATTCGAGTACTGGCAACCATTTCGAGAAGCACCATTCTTTGCGAAAGATTATTTCACATCTTCTGGTGAGTCATTTTCTGGTTTTTATTTGAGAGTATCTGTATGATTTCAGTGAAAACTTATCACGGAAGTGTGGTATTCAGTGATAAAACCCTAATTGACGCTGAAAAAGATCAAATTTGGCTAAGATATATTCATGCAGATGAAGGAAATGGAGATGTACGGGCAGAGTCATCAGGTGCTTTTCCAGTTATTCCAGTTGTGGGAGAGAATGGAGAAATTGTGAGTTGCAAAAGTTTGAAAAATCTTGAAAAAAATGTATTTTAGGAGTACAAATTCAAAGTTGACTTCGTCACTCAGAACAACAATATGACTATTCGAGTGGATCCGACACTTACCAAATTAGGTAAACTTTGTGATTGGTAATTTTCTATTGTAATTTATTTAAAGGTTATGATTTAATGGACGGAATGGATGTTCTACAAGAAGTTATGGATAGTGTGTTGAAAAATAAAGAACATATTGTTTTTGGTCAAGAGGTTTGTTAATATTAAGTTTTCCCAATATTTTTCAATTTTGGATATTACTGTAGTTTGGGTTTCGGTAATTTATTGAAAGAATAGAAAGCAAGGATTACTGTAGCTTTTCAAAATTTACAAATTCGGGCTTACTGTAACTACATTAAAATCAATGCAGTTTTCAGTCTGATCTTTCTTACTCATTAACCCTGGCTTTCAGCTTTTCATCGATCACATCACCACTTTTTATGGTGAGCATTGCCCGTACTACACAATTTATGCAACTTCGGGTGTGGTTGCTGATGAAGATTTAAATGAAAATCCATTCTTTAAACATCTTGCTGCTACTGGTGAGTGTCCGTTCAATTGATTCCTTAATTGATATACAGAACAAAACAGTTTTTCCTGCGAATCCAACAAAACGACAACTACATGAATCCGAAGACCTTCAAGAAGACGAAATGGCGAATTGGGAGCTCACAATGATATTGGATAACTTGAAACCGGGAACTCCAATCATACCAACAGTTGTTCTAGTTGCAAATGACAGAAGAACATTTGAAATGGAATGTATGATGGCCAATCCTAATCCAATTCCAATTGGGTGGACAATAAAATACAATGTATTTTTAGGTTTTGAATTTTTTTTTGTAGTCATATTTCAGCTGACTGCTCCCAACTTTGGAAATCCACGGAAATGCAGAATTTCCTGCGAAGAAACGAATGATGACACTTATACCAATGTTAATAAGGTAAAATCAAAGAGTCTTGAATTTCAAAATTTAGATATCGACTAAATTTAAATTTTAGAACGTCAGTTTTTTGGAATTGTTGAAATTTCGAATCTTAATCTCGGAGCTTCTCAATTTCCGAACTTCTAATCAGAATTTTCGAAACTCTGAAAATCGGAAAAAAAACTGGAAATTCAGAAGTTCAGACACTCGGAACTTAGGAAACACAGAAGTTCGAAGACTCGGAAGTTTAAAAATAGACAATTTCACATTTTAGAATTTCTCGAATCCAGAAATATCAAAATTCTGAATTTTATAAAAACTCTGAATTCCAGAAAAAGCTCACAAATTCGTAAATTCTGAAATTTATGGGTTTCCATCCAAGTTTCAAAATTTAGGAGTTTAAACATTTATCTTCTGAGCCTCCGACTCTTGATTTTCTGCACTTGTAAATTTCTGAACTTTCAAATGCCGGATTTTCCGAAATTCCAGTCTTCCTCGATTTCCGTATTTCTGATTTTCTGAGTTTTTGAAATACTAGACTTCTCAATTTTGAATTCCGAGATTCTCCAATTTATGAGTTTCCGATTAATAATCTTATGAAACTTATAGATTTTTAACTTCCGAATTCCCGAAAAACATCTTGAAATAGTTTCTGAAAAAGACTAACAAAAGTTTCTATAAAATCACAGATGTTGTAAGCATGAGCCAGGAGGATTAGCTGGTAGTCTAACGTTTTTTTTTCAAAATTTTCAGATATTCTTAACCGAAAACAAAACGAAAACTCACGTCTTCATAAAAGAACAAGAATCCGAGTTGGAAGGATATGACACTCATGAATTTGAGTGTCATTATCCAGATGATGGTGGAAGACATTGTAAGTCAGAAATAATAATAATGCGTAGAAGTATTTGATCTGTTTTCAGCCGTTGAATACTTGATCACAATGAGAACGGAATCAGGAAGTGGAGAGTTTCGTCCGTATATAAATGTTATTGGAAAGAATGGAGACACTGGATATAGAGCATTCACAGCTAACAAACCTTTTGTGGTAAGATTTCCAAATCAAGATTAGTGCTCAATTCCTATTTTCAGGTCAAAGAATTATCCACAAACGCTATAAACCTTGGAGATCTTGTAAGCGTAGAAGTGTGGGCAAAAACTGGAAAAGTGAGTGATCCAACTGAAAATATGAAATTAACAACTGACCTGTTTCAGCCTGAAAACTGGAGAGGAACACTTGAAGTTGCGTTTTTGAGTCAGTTGTACGAATCGAACATAATGTGAGTATTGAAAAAAGCAGATTTTGAAATATCTTTAATTGGTTTCAGAGAAATATCAAAAAATGGACAAATCGCCCAATCTCCATTGATATTAGTGGAACGAGAAGGAATTGAAGATGAAGAAGAAGATGGGCATGGCCTAGAAACAGAGGAAGAATACGAATATGATGAGGAGGAACGATATTATTAGACGAATTTTATGAATTATTTGTTGTTTAACACATTTGTTCATTTTAAATACTTTTCTGGTGTTTTATTGGTAAATATTTTGCTTATGATGTAATAAACATAAATATTTTCTTTTTAACAGTACGAGTTTAATTTATTCTGGATGATTGAAAGTATAGTTCTTCATTCTGCAGCGTCTTCTGGTTTTAGTGAGTAATATTATATATTCCGGTACAAAAAATTTGAGCTGCGGAAGAGAAACCCCGGTGGCCAACGGTCCCAAAACAACAACTACCGTAACCTGAAAATAGTAAGAACCAGTCGGAAAAGTAGACTGAAAATGCACTTAAATTAATAAGAAAAGATCCGGAAAATAAAAATATTTTTAGGTTACGGTAGTTGTCGTTGTAGGATCTTCGGCCACGGCCACCGGCGTTTCTCTTCCACAGCTCTGATTTTTTCGTACCAGAATAATAATGATAATCAAAAAAGTGTCTTAAAATTAAAACTTATAATTCCCGATTACCATGAGTTTCCATTATTCTTCAAATCCTTTCCTTTTTCTTCTTTCTCGCGCAGAAAAAATAAGGCGTTTCCCTCTGACGACCCACCTTATCCAGTTCAGTGGCAAGTTTTCTCCGTTTCATTTCTTATCTTCTTTTTCGATTTACCTGATCGACAAAGCTGTTTAAAAGGAAACGAGGGACAAGAGAATGGTACAAATCCCTTTCAATCATAGGTGCCTTTCAATCTTTCTCTTCTGAAACATCCGTTCTGTTCTATAACTTCTTATATTTCAGAAAATGGTAAAGGCCGTCGTCGGATTCGGCGCTGCTTGCGGAATCTCTGCTATCGTTGCTTGCCTTTGGGCAGCTCTTGTCATCACCAATGACATCAACAATATGTATGATGATGTCATGGGAGAGCTCGGAGGATTCAGAGATATCTCTGATGATACCTGGGGAACTCTTCTTGATGTTCGTCACGGAGCTGGAGAGTCTGCTGAGCAATACGTTAGAGGAATCTTCGGACGTCACAAGCGTTCCAACAGCCAATGCTCTTGCGGACTTCCATCCCAAGGATGCCCAGCTGGAGCTCCAGGAAACCCAGGAGCCCCAGGAGAGCCAGGAGGCACCGGACCAGACGGAAAGAACGGTCCACCAGGACTTCCAGGACTCAACATCCCAATTCCAAACGACTTCCCTAAGGAGTGCATCAAGTGCCCAGCTGGACCACCAGGACAAGACGGACTTCCAGGACAAGAAGGATTCCAAGGACTTCCAGGAGACGCTGGAAAGCGCGGAGCCCCAGGAAAGGACGGAGAGCCAGGACGTGTTGGAGATATCGGAGACCAAGGAGCCCCAGGACAAGACGGACAACCAGGACTTGCTGGACCACCAGGACGCGATGGACTCACCGGAAAGGGACAACCAGGAGTTGCTGGACGCCCAGGAATGCCAGGACCACGTGGAGAGCCAGGAAACAACGGAAACCCAGGAGAGGAGGGACAGACTGGAGCTCAAGGACCAACTGGACAGCCAGGAAAGGACGGATTCAACGGAAACGACGGAACTCCAGGACAAGCTGGACCACAAGGAACCGTTGGAGCCGATGCCGAGTACTGCCCATGCCCAGAGAGAAAGCGCAGACGCGTCTAGAAAGTTTTTGTCGTTTTTTCAAAATAAATATTTATGTATTCAGTCAACTAATTTTGTTATCTGAAACATTGCAAACATTGCATAAGCTGAAACATTGCATAAGCTCAAATTGAGATGATTTGCAGACAACGGAAAACTGTTTGTTTAGAGCTCTGAGTGATTATTAAAGGTACACATGATCGGAACCAAAACCTGGAATGGGTAAAGCTATACCGTAGTTTTTCTACTGACATCCTCATACCATTACTTTAATCACTATCTTTTCGGTTTCTTGAAGGGGATATGAGATTTTTCGGAAGTTTTCTGGAGTTAGGATATGCATTCTGACATATTGGTGTTGAGCCCGCTTCAATGTATCGGGCGCTAGCTCTAGCTTCGTCCACGAGAACAGCCAAATGTCTAGAATACCCAAACGTCTTGTGGACTTATTTCTTTCAAATATCTCTTCCAGAAAACAAATCAATTGGGGTCAGATTTACGGTATGTGGATGTTCATCAGTTATAAGAAATGCGGTCGTACTGTCCAGATGGACTAAATATGCCAATGATAGTTACAAGAGAAATTTGAAAATCTGGAAAGGGTATCTATACCGTTATTTGACTTGATTCAAGAGAATCTTTAAAATCTGACAACTGTAAAACGTGGTTACAAAATTTCAAACAATATTCGAAAAAATCCGAAATTAGTTTCCAGTTTATTCCCATAGTTTAATTCGATCGGTTGAAAATTCGAATCACTGTCAAGGCATGAGCACGTCAATGTCTGGAAGCGAGTAGGGTTCCCTATCTATTAACCTAAATAATAATAGAAATTCGTTTCAGTGAATGTCCAAATCTTCTGGTTCCTTCCTTTTTGCCAAGTGGAGACGTACTTGGTTGGAATCTGACATCAGTTATAAATCCAGTCACCAAACGAAAGGAATTCACGTACACAGTATCTGTTCAAACTGTTGGAGCATTCGGAAGCTCGGAAAATGCAGAAGGCGTTGTAATGAAATGTGATGGTCCGTGTGGAAACCCAACTCCATCGGGAAATCTCATCTCGATGGGAAAGTGTGATCATATGTTGTGCAAGGCTTGTTTCGGAATCGTCAAAAATCCGAATGGTTAGTTTTGAAAATGAGATTTTCAGTTTTGCGAATTACGTTTTCTAGGTTCATATGGATGCTCAAACTTCTATTGTTGGTCTGAACCACAAGCAAACTTCGGAAAGGAAAAGGCAAACTACAGTAAGGTCATCAATAAGCAAATGTATCGTGCCCGGAAGTTCAAAAAAGATGGGGAGGATATGAAGGCTTGTACCAAAAACGATGTTCCCAAAACACCAGCTGTGTCATCGGATTCGGAAGCCAACTCGAAGAAATCGTCTTCTTCCAATTCTGTCACATCTTCATCTTCTGTTGATCCTCGTTCACCAAATGCTGACTCAAATGGAATTCCTAAATTCTTCTGAGTGTTGTATCAGATGAAGTTTTTGAAATAAATCCAATATATATATATTGGGGTCAATAACAGATAAAATGTTCATTACTTAGCAATTTTAGAAGATTTGAAACAACAATGAACATAGTTAGAAAGTAAATAAATAAGTTCAGAAACTTTGACTTCTCGATCTGATTCCTTATTATTCTGATTGAGATGCAGATGATAGGTGAGGTTGAGAGTTCTAATGGGGTTATTCAGGGAGTCGGCAAAAAAGGAAAAAAAAACTCCGCGAAAACTCGGGGAGTGTTCCAATCTGGCTGAAACTTTGGGGAAACTGTAGAAAACTATAGGAAACATTTTGCCAAAGTTTGGGGTCAAAATATTAACTTTGAAAAATTGTCTGAAATTCCAGCC